TGCGGGGGCGTCACACTGCTGAAATTTCCAATCTGCAGCTTGCAAACTTAGGGGGAAAAAAGGTTTAAAGTCCAACGTATTATGTTTTTTTTATGGAATTTTGAATTGGATTGATTTATCCACACTGGCCCTTACCCATCATGAGCATACATCTAAATCTCTATTAATTTGTATATATATTACAACAAGATCAAGGATAATGAACCATCTCTCACTGTCTGGGGTCGCGACAGTTCTTTAGAAGCTGGCGGGGGAAACACCGCCTCCAACACTGACTTTGTCACAAAGTTCACAATATCACACCTCGCCAACACCTCTAAAGCTCACTGACACACACAACCTAACAAACATGTTCCATCCTCATCTGTGCCCAACACTGTTCTTCCATTGGAGGGCCAAGAGACGGAGACCTTAATAACGTGGGGCACGGGCCCAAAAAGCGAACACACTATTGTACTGGTCATTGTTTAAGATACAAAATGCCGAGCGGTAGGTATGGAGGGACCCAAATGGTAAAAAAGAGGTTACAATCTTCTAGCTGACTATATTAGATTCCTAATTCCAAAACTCTCCCAAGTTCACTTAATTGGACCTGACTTCGCTGCGCAAAGTGTTTTCACTCCAGATTATAACAAAAGTAATTTCAATAAATTCAGCTAATTTACATTATTTAAGGAATATTTTACCACATTGGTATCACTTATATTTGATTATTTATTATTATTATCATTTTTACAAAACCAAACTGCTACTATACTTTTTTAGGCTGCCTATACATATTGAACTTATAGGCGCGGTCAATTCAGCCCATGGGCCACACTTTTTTGTGGGCGCCCTGATTTAACAATATAACAATACCTAAAATATGCGTATCGTCTTTTAATTGGGAGCTAGTTTTTTTTTTTTTCTTTTGATACACAGTTCCTCCACCACATTCCTTGCTTGTCCTCACTAGAAACAGTTAGAGCACTCCCTGTACAAGACATAAAACGTCATTATCACTGTTGACAGACTTTTGAAGTCAGGGTTAGTCGTTGGATCATTGGACTGAAGTGGGGGGAAGTTGAGAGTGACATTGTGTTAAAAAACCTGATCACTCAGGATTGCTCACTACACTGAAACGTCAGGGGGGCTCAACATGCTCACCAGACACTCTGGCAGTACTATGGTGTAAAGAGGAAGACTAAGAAGTGTGTGGTGGGGTGAAGATGAACTCTCCAGAGGAGCACTTTGGGACCTACTTGCCCTTCTTCTGTATCCCCCCTTCTCCCCCCTACAGTCTGTGCCTCTGTCAGCATCCAGTTGTACCCAAAGCAAACACAAGCCTGCCTTAACACACACACACAAATGCCACAGACAGCAAACCTGGCCCTTTTCACTCCAGGCGCGTTCACCGGCGGGCTACTCCCACCAGGAGAGTAGCTAGCGAACACGATGATACCCTTGTTAGTGATAGATGTTAATAAATAATAGATCTTCATTAAAGATAGTGACATACAAGGGGTGTTACGTTAGAAAATTTGCTTCTCATCTCCTACATAAGCCGTTACAACCAAGAGTGTTTATTTCTCTCCATTGTTGTGGACATCGCAGGGCGACCGACACCTTTGGCCACAAGTTGGCTCGCTGCTTTCCGGACTCCCTAGCCTGCCGGATACATTTATATACTTGTATGGATCCATCGCGCAGCAGTGTATGACGTAGGTTTCCCTCGTAGGCTATCGCGCTCAGATGCAGGTGCAGGAGACTACCAATGTAACATTTTTCCTTAGTTTGTCTCTCTCGCGCGAATCGACACCCACGGGCGACCATCACATCTCAGCATCACACACACCAGCGCGATGAGATTGTTGACACAGCTGACTGGGCGCTGATTTTAAAACTACCTCCAGTAAGATTGGTTCGCATTGGGGATAAATTAACATGGTTCACTCATAATTTACTTTCGAGATTTCATGATGCCTCACATTGTAACCTTTGGGCTTTAGACTGCAAGTAACATAGATACTCTGCACATGTCATGTTTAAATATGAATTCAAAACAGCAGTACTGTAGATGAAAATCGAAACTCTCAGCGAGTTGATGCGCCCCCAATGAGTGATGTAGCCTTTAACCAAATGGGAAGACATTCTGACC